TATGCTCTGGTTCTAACAGTTCAGTACCTTGCCAACGCGCTTGCCCTCCACTGCCAGCACCTTCATCTTGGAGAAGTAGTGATAAAACGCCACCACATAGGTAATAATGGATTTCTCATCTGGGTTCTCTGTGAAGACATCTGCAAGAGGGCAGGTATTCTCTCAGAACCAAACCAGAAGCCAGTACCACAGGCACCAGGAGACAGCCAGTGGGGAGAGAAAGGGCTTTAGCAAGAGGAAGAAATCTATATAAGGACCATGGAAGGAGGAGGAAAGGGGACATCCCAAAACAACCCTTTAGTGGGCCTGGTCAGAGGTTGGCAACCAAGGTGGATATGAAGGGCAGGCCCAAGGGGCCCTTGTTGTGTCCACAGTGTGCCTGGTATATGGCCTGAACTCTTCTGGTGTCCGAGCAGCCGAGCGCCACCTCCCATGTCACAGTAAGGGTCTGGCTGGAGTGAGTGCTGGCTCACCTTCGGGGTCGAGGAGTGGGATGATGCCCAGCTGACGCTCAGCCACATCGAATGCATGTTCCAGGTTGTGCCGGGCATTGGAGTCTTTCAGCTTGTCAAAATCAATCAGGTCGGGTCTAGGGATGAAGCCAGATGATTAAAGGAGGCGGCCATGGCCTTTAACCAACAGGCGGCCCCACCTGAGGCAGACACTATGCAGGTACTGAAGGCAGCCCACCCAGCAACAGTGGAAGGAACAGCTGTGAGCACCATTTAAGAAGCGGGCCATGGGCATGATGGGAATGTCAGAGGAGCTGCAATGCCGAGGGGTGGGGACATCTCTGCTCAACTGGAACAGTAGCCGGGGGTCTGCCCACAGCCTCTCCCTCCCCTTACCGGTGCTTATGGATCAGGGCATTAAAGGCCAGGCCGTCCTTCCAGCTGGAGGTGAAGTTGGTGACATTGACGTGGGGATAGCTGCACCCAAGAGAAATAATTAAGAAATGAGAAAACACGATCTACTGAAGTTGCAAACAAGCATATAAACTGAGGACCAAGACACCAGCAAAGGAATGCATTGGCCTCCTCAAGGCACTTCAACATCAGAGTAGCCATTCAACCACACAAAGATACAGGCACAGGAGCCTCAAAAGAGTTTCGCATCCCCAGTGCACCCCACAGTCTAATCCAGGCAACTTAGAGAAGAAGTCTGTGTTCAGGACCTCAAAGAATCAGGTCAGAACAGACTAGGCATCAATTACACCTAAGCTTCTACAGTTCTGGTGACGACATCTATGTCCCTTGGGGACAGCAGTACTTGAGGGCCAAGGGGCATGATAGAGACGTGGTAGCCACTGGCTTCCAGCTTACCCTGCCGTCTTCATCTGACACCATAAGAGCAACGCGTCCTTGGCCGAGCGCGTCTCACGGCCTTCCTGAGTTTGGACAACAATGTCCTGGATCTGAGGGCACAGGAGAATGAGGGAGAGAAATTAGATTTGCTCTCCTTAGGAGGCTCCCTCTTTCCTCCCCTGCAGACGGCTCTCTGAGGCCAGTGCTGCAGCAACACCATACCCTAACCCCCAGTCCAGGGGGCTTGCTGTCCCCTGCTTAGTCTGTAGCACAGGGACAGTTTCCTTATGGCAGACCAGAGAGCTCAGTCTGATGATGCTAATGAAATGCATGACAAGATGTCCTGGTTCTTCCCAGGAAGGGTGGTATTGTATTCTGTTAGAAGGTGCTATGTTGGGGTCCTCCCTGGTGGTGCAAAGGGTTAGGATGCAGCACTACAAGCTGGCCGCAACCCCTTCAAGTGCGAGTTTGATTCCTACCCCGGAGGTGTTCCACATGGCGTGGCAGACCTCTCCTGTCTCGCCTGCTGCTCCCCTCAACGATCTGCCTGTTCTGTTCCCCACTCTGTCTCTCATGAATCTCCTCTCACCACCCCTGCCCTTCTGGCCTGTACCCCAGTTCTATATGCATAAATAAATCTTTTAAAAAAATAAAAAGAAGGTACTATATTTTGACTAGCAGCTCTCCACGTCTTTTCATTCTCCCAACCCTGCTGTTATTACTGTTTAATCTGATGCACTCAGGAGAGTAGAAGTAGACACTTTGGATGAGCTGCCTTGGAGCAGAGTTTGAGTTGTGAATTACTTCCGCCTTCCTGTCGTCCCTTCCCCAAACCAAAAGGGCCTGTTTTCCTTCCCCCAGGTTTTCTAAATTTAACAAAAAATAATCTATATCTGAATTTCAGGGTGGGAGAAAAAAGCTCTTGAAAAACATGAAAGCAGTTCTTTGTATAGTTTTTGCAATGTTTGAATCAAACTATTTCAAAAACAAAATGTCACACATTTGGGGGACAGAGGATCAAAAAGGTTTTTTGGCCAGATCTCAGCCCAGACACCAGTTTCTATTTTTACCCTCAAGGACTGCACTAACAACGGAATAGCCCGCCCTTAGCAGCAGCTACTTGGATCCTTGGGATTGTCACTCCTACAAGCACTGTCCCTCCGACAGGCCTCTAGCTCTGGGAAGGTGCATATACGCTCACACCTCACTTGCCCTTTTATACGACTCCCAGCCCTGTCTGGCCCCGAGAGGCTCCCCCACTCCCTTCACCTGAAAGCGCAGGATGATGGTCCAGATGAGGCCGAGGACCAGGCGGTGGTTGCCGTCCACGATGTCATGGGAACCCATGTTCTCCAGGTGCACGCGCTGCTCCTTGAGGAACTGTAGGGCCTTGTCCACATTCTCCAGGCAGTGGATGCGCATCTTCCCCTTTGTGGGCTTTGGCTGGGGAACAGCATGGTCCCGTGGGCATGGGGGAGCCATGAGGTCCTGGGCCAAGTGGTCATGAGCACCCACCCTCCATGCGAAACTCCTGCTCCCACACTCACTCTTTGACACATTGCAACCCCATCCTTTCAGCAACCTCAGGAAGTTCCTCTCTCTGTGGCACCCAAAGCCCTGCCACCAAGCTGCCTTGGGAGCATTCCCAGGCCTGAACAAAACCTTCTGAGTGGGCAGTAAGTGGCTTGCAAATACAGACAGACCCAACAGAAGTTCACTGCATGCTTACTGCGTGCCAGGCACAGTTGTAAAAACCACTGACAACCGGTTGGTGATTGATAACAGATCCTTCCTGCCGTCCAACCCTGTAGGGTCTCATCCCAAACTCCAGGGCCCATCACTGACCAGTTACTGCCCCACCTCCCAGGGCACTCTCACTAGTGGATTTCAATGCAGGGTAAGAGGCAGATTGTCCTCTGGAGTTGAGAAGGCAAAAGAAGAATGTGGTATCTTCTCATTTAAGTCTGGTCAGGTGTCATTTCTTTCATTTTACAGTAAAGGAAAACAGACAAAAACCTGATAGGCTCCAGGTCACAAAGGAAGTTACTGAGCAAATCAGGAAACTCCACCACTTCTCCCTCGGGCAATACAGCTAGGCGGGTTCCAACTGAAAGGACCTACAGTGAACTTCCACTTGTAAACTGACAGAACACAGCAAATTGTCCTCTACACTTTCTTCTTGGGTCTAAGAAGAATGCAAATTGTTCAGCCTGCTAATCCCTTTTAGCCAAAGGAGGCTGAGGGTGGGATACTGCAGACAGTTACAGATGCATGGGCTAAGCCAAGAGGTCAAGGCCTCTGGGTGGCTGCTGGGAAAAGCATGCAGGGGTGGGAATGCCCAGAAGGCAGCAAAAAATTCTGGGATGAGGCTGAATAGCAGGGATGCCTTGCACCATGATGCACTGAAACCTCCCAGAGAACAGAGAGAAAGCGTGGAGATATTCTCAGAACATGTCTTTCCAAAATAGGTGCCAGTGGCTAGGGGAAGGAGACCACGGCACAGGGCGCGGCTTTACCAGCATCTCTCCAGAGAGCACCTCCAGCAGCTTGATGAGCATCCGCCCATCTCGCAGGTCCTTGTAGAGGTCGGTGATTCTGCAGGACACCCGCGCCAGGTGTGAGTTCACCCATTTCGTGAAGGTCTTCTTCTGAACAACTTCCCGCTCATCTGGATGGGGAGAAGAGCTGAGTGAGGTGGCTGAGGTTTGGGAGTCAGTGAGCAATGTGACTTTGGGCCTATCCTCCTAGAGCTGCCTTTGCAGCATGGTTCCACAGGCCATCGGCACTAGGGCAAGGAGATGAGTTCTCCCATTACTTCCTTTGCACAGCTTCAAGATACCCCTAAATCAGCCACATTTTTCTGTGCTTCAGATTTCAATGCTGGGTTCATCCACATACCCACCCACCCACCACATATTCCCTCTGTCTAGAATGGTCTCTCTACTCACCTCACCCCAACCCCTTCATCTAATCCCCTTTGTCCTGATGCTCCACCTAGGTCAAGTCTCCCCTTATACACCCTGACTGCCCTTCACTGATATTTCTTATGTCTTTCTTTCACCCAATAACTGAAGTGAGTCTCTCCTGCAATACAGCGCTGCAGGCTCCTTGAGCCCAGGGAGGTGCTGTTCGTACCCCCAACTCCCTGAGGCCTGCCCCCTGACACAGACACATGCAGGCACCACCTATTCAGCTCCTATCCAGGTCTGTCCTACACTGATGATGCATAAAGGTGACATACTGCCTGTGCACAGGGAGCGCCTGGGAGATAGAGGCATGGTGAGCAAGGAAGCAGAAAGTGTAGCACATGTGGGAGTAGGGATAATGAAGGCTGGGCTGGGGCGAGCCATTGTTATGCTGTTTTTTCACTCCAGAAGACAGGCAGGGGATGTCCATCTTCAGACCTTGGAAGCTGACATGACATCCAGGCCCCCCTCTGCGCACACACACAGCTACCCACCCCACCCACACAATTAGCATCAGCAGAACCAGGTTTCTGGCCCATATGGTACTGGTGTGATTTTTTTGGAGTTAGTGCAGGGTTGTTGGGTTCACTCTGGGAAAGATTTCACAGAGCTCCCCTTTCGGCGGCACGTGGCGAGTTCCCAGGCAAGTTACCCACCAGACAGAGACTCAGTTAGATTAAAAGCAGGTTATTAGGGAAAAGAACGGGAATAGTACTGCACATTTGCATAGGCACAAGCGGGCAGGAAGAGCTGCCCTGAAAGGGACAGACTTGCTGAGAGAGGCCTGCATGGTCACAGGTGGGCAACTTTAAGAGAGCAGCCTCCGCTGAGGGAGGTCAGTGCAGAAAAGTCCCAGCGTGGTACAGGTCACAGGCAGGCAGGAGGCTGCTGCCCTGCAGAGGGAGAGAGTGGGTAGAAAGAAGCACCTGCATAGTCACAGGTGGGCAGAGGACTGCTGCACCGTGCTGGTGCAGAGACTGCACTAATATAGACATCCTTTCTGTGAGAGGGGCTCACTCCTGTGAGCCTGGGTTTGTTGATTTTGAATCTGACGGGGACAGGAGATCCCACATTGGGTTCTATCTCCTTATCTTTCTCCTTTTGGGTTTGTGACAGACATGCCTGCTGCATGTAGTCTGCTGCCTGCTTTGATCCCATGCTTTGTAACCTAGGCACTGGTGCCTAAGGATCATGATTTCTATGACTGGGTCGATGGCTATGCTAATCCCTTCTACCGCTGACTCCTTATGTGCGTCAGTCTGGTGATGCCTCCTTACTATAGCTTCCGCCGTCAGTACCAGCTCAAGTTGGTGATCTTTTAGCACCTCTGTACAAATAAACGCTGGTAAGGGTAAGCTGTCCAGTTAGGCTGCAAAGCTTGAACAAGATGCTGGTGAGACAACAAAAGGCTGGCACAGCACAGAGAAAAGGGAGCGCAGTGGGGAAGGGAAGAAAGTGAGAAGAGTATCAAAAAAGACAGAAACAAAGGAATAGCAGAGAAAAGGACACACATTTGTCCCATTTGGTTTAGTGAACAGTTTGTGGCATCAGGCTTCCGAGCACTCTGGTTAAAGATCCCAGCAGGAGCTGACCTGGCAGGGCGGCTGGGCCCCAGGAGGAGCCCTCGGGGGAGCAGGGGTGGGTCGCAGGCAGAGCCCACTCAGGAGAGCCCAGCCGGGAGGGACCATCAGTGCTGTGGGAGCAGGCTAAGTGTGCTCTCAGCGAAGCCCAGCCTGTGGAAGCCAGCCTGTGGAAGCTTTGGCTTCTTCAATTATGAAATATCTGATTTAACAACAGCAAAAAGAGAAGCCCAGCCAGCAAGGCCTCAAGGGTATAATCCAGGCCATTTCAGAGACTCGCAGCATCAAATTCCTTCCTGCAGCATGGCTATTTTAGTGTTAGGAGCTCGGATGCTCTATTCACATACTCATTCATTCAGCAAATGTGGCTGTGCCATTAGGTCCCAGGCTCTGGTGAAGGTGGGTAACTCAGGAATAGGGAAGACAGCTCCTCTCCCTGAGCCCTGAGGCAGACCAGCAGATCACTCTGCTAAATGCGTGATGTGTTTCACTGTCATAGACAAAGAACTCCATGGCAGCCAACAAAATATGATTTCCAAGAAGAGGAAAAATACTACTACTGATGATGCAAATCTTATTTAAATATGTAACCCAAGTGGCATTCATTCATTCTGGGCAATGTTTCAGAGGGGAAAGCAAGCTCCATTACTCTTTTGTTGGCAGCAAATTAAACCATGAGGTCAAGGACAGGTTCTGTAAAATGAAACTGAAGCTTTGATGATCTTCTGGACATAAAAGCTATTGCATTTAGTCTGGGGCATGTTTAGATTAAACTGACGGGTCACAGTTCTGGCACTTTCCCTAGAAACCAGACCTGCTGTGACTGGTTAGTGCTTAAAATTGGCTGTGAAACTTTAAGCGAGGGGCTGAATTTTTAGGCCTTTCAGATGTAATTATTTCCAAAAGTTAAAGTCCTTTTTTCCTTTTCCTGTCTTTAAGAATCCAAAAATTTCATTACGTGGGTACTGAGACATTTGTGCTTGACAAAGGGTACAACATGCTTCCAGCTAGGAAGATGGAATTTAATTCTAGGCTGCTCACCTGGGTTATAGATTGGTGCAGACATAGAAATCACCCTAACTCTCCCATTCTCAACACATAAATGGTGCTTCCAGGACTCCAAAATATTGGTGTCTCCTGGCTGCCTGTTACTTATAGGCTGAGTGAACTGTCCAGAAACTCCAGCACCCTGAAACACTTTGCAGTGTTGAGACATGAAAGATTGTCTACAAGGCTAATGATCACCAAGAGAGAAAAGGCCGAGGGGTGGGAATTAATTTCCATTAGCTCCCTTGCTCTGGCTGCCCCACACCAGCCTGCACAGTATGCTCATTCCCAGCATAGGCCAGGTGCTCACCCAGAGCCTTCCAAGTGCAGGAGAGGCAGGTGGCCAGCAGCCAGTTGGGTTGGGAACCCAGTGGTAGGGAAAGGCCACGGGGTGGCCAGGCACTGGTCTGCTGTCCTCAGGAGACCAGGCCAGCCTGCAGGAACCCACTGTGAAAGGAGGCTTCAGCAACTATAAAAATACAAGGCTCTGCCAGAGGCCAGACTTAATTTCCCAAACTCTACCCTATCAGTGCAGAAGAGAGGGCAAGTCTACCAGCTGACCTGACTGAGTCTCAGAAAATACTTGAAAAATACACTTGATACCAAACATTTCAAATATTTATTCACATATAAGTGAGTTTACACACAGGAAGTGCTTAAAACAGGGCCTGGCACCCAGAAAGCTTACATGAAAGCTACCAATCACTGTTGCCATCACGTGTAGTGATGTGGCTGTCCTAAAATGCTGTCAGGAACACCAAGAGGGCTCACACTCCCCAAGAGTCTCACTGTGTAGCTGAGGAAACAAAACACAAACCCAAGTTCATTCTGCAACCACACAAGGGAGGAAGAGCAGCGCCCATTTTAATAATGCAAAAGCTGTCATGAGGTAATACTGCATTGGTTAACAAGTAGATGGCACAGAGAATAAATGGTTGAGACCAAAGTGGAGAGAGATCATTTCTAATGAGAGTAGTCAAGGGCGGCCTCAGGAGGGAAACCACTTTGGACAGCAGAGGAGGAGGGAGCCAGGCGGATAGAGGGCACTTAAGCAGAGAGTCATGAAAGGATGAAACCTGTTCACGGGAGCAAATATGTGTAATGAGGGTTTAAATTGAGTATAGAACGCCTTGAATGGAAGATTAGGAAGTTTAGATTTAATTCCAAAGAACCACTGAGGGTGTGGCAGGATCATTTATAGAAATAGGAATTTATAAACCTCCTAAAGATAATGAAAAGATAAAATGTTTCAGCTCAAATTTACAAAGAGGCATGTAAAATCTTTATCAAGGAAACTATAAAAGACTCCCAGGCACCAAAGATTTGAACAACACATACCCATTCTTGAATAGGAAACCTCAGAATCATACAGACATCAGATTAGCCTAACTGAATCTATATACTTAATATCATTTTAAGTTTATGTATATTATGTCATTTAAATTCAGGGGGAGGGCCCTAATGGCGCATGATGCAACAGGTTAAAGTACAGCACTATGAAGCTAGCTGCAGCCACTACAGAGGAGTTCAATCCCTGGCCAGGTAGGTGGCCTACACACATGGTGTGGCAGACCTCTCCTGTCTCACCTGTTGCTCCCCTCAGCTCCTCTCACTGCCCCTGTACCTCTGGCCTGTATCCCAGTTCTGTATGTATAAATAAATAAATCTTAACAACATAAATACAGGGGGAACTAGGCAAATGATTAGAAATTTTGTTGGAAAAATAAAAATCGCTAGGAAAATTCCCAAAAGAGTAATAAATGGTGACCAACTTTCTAAGTGCTTTCTATCAAACATTAAAGCACAGTATAAAGGTATAATAATTGAATTGTGTGGTTCTAGCATATGGATAGACATATCGACAGAACAGAAATAATTTCAAGTACTTGTAAGAATTTAATATCTGGTAAAGGTGACATTTCAAGATAGATTATTGGATCAAGGCTGATGACAAAACTAGATGGTGACCTAGGAAAGATTAAGCTTAATTCATATCTCAGACAGAATAAATTTTACTTAGGTGAAAAATGGAAATGTGAAAAATGGAATGATAAAAACACCAAAGTCAATTATGG